TATTGAACCACACCAGCGGGCCATGCAGAAGGAACCTGAGCTCGCACGAATGATATTGCAGCAACAGCTTGACATGGAACAGATGCTTTTGCAAAGCATGCTTAATGAACAGCGGAGCTTGGAAGTTGCTGCTTCGGCTGTTGCGATGGCCCTTGACAAGCCCCGGCCTGCAGCCCCCAATCCATCAGATGCCCCAGGTGAGCCAGCTGCTCAAGAGCCTCAGGCAATGGAGGTTGAAGTTTCGGCTACTGTTGCAGCCACAGCAGTTGAAACACCGACCGCCACAACCTCCCCGCCTGTAATCTCCATCGAGAATCTTCCCTACGGTGTCCTAGCCTGCATTTAGTTTGCTTGCCCCTATTTAGTTTGCTTGCCCCTATATAATAATTAATCCCTATAGAGAAATCCTGACAGCCCAGGTTATGACTACATGGACACTTGCCCCATGGATGTGCAGCTCATGAATTATGAGTCTCCCCAGCGTACAGCTAGCAGTGTTGCAGAGGGTATTCTTGAAACTCCGACAAGCGAGACCCTCACACCAGAAGCTGCAGCAGCTGTTCCTGTGGATGCAGAGCCGGCCACCACAGCAGTTTGGCCACAATATGTTATTAACATTAATACACTTAGCTCACCAAACCTCTCAACTCTTATTAGCTAAGGTCTTGCCCAGCTGCCCGGTCGAGCATGCTCCTGCCATCAGCCCGTCGGAGCAGAGCAAGTTGTCTGGAGCTGTACCTAAGACCAAGGGTTCCAAAGGTAAGAAAGCCCAACCCGAAGATGAGGAGGAGTGCGATGAAGACTCCCATGATGAGGATGCTTGCAGCTCAGGCGGTTCGGGTAGGGGCCGGGTCGGGCGCGAGGAAGAGGGCAGGGGAGGGGCCGGGGAAAAGGCCGGGGGAGAGGCCGGGGGAGAGGCCGGGGCAAGGCTAGCCAGGAGCCACAGTGTGAGAATGGAGCAGATGACAAGGATGGAAGCGAAAATGATCATGAAAGTGAGCCAAAGGGCAAAGCCAAAACCAAGGGAGGAGCAACTGCCAAAGCAAAAGCCACCGCAGCAGCAGCAGGAAAGGCAAAGGCGAAGGCGAAGGCAAAGGCAAAGGCAGGTGCAAAGGCAGGTGCAAAGCCTAAAGCAAAAGCTAAGGCAAAAGCTAGCAAGGCTGAAGAGCAGAACTCGTCGCAGAAGCACAAGAGCAGGAAGACAAGCGATGAGGAGATCACTGAGGAGGAGAGGGAGAAAAAAGCAAAGGCCAGCAGGAAGAGCAGCGCATACCACTGCGCGAAGTTGAAGGCGATCAAGGAAGGAGCCACAAAGGAACAGGCAGTAGAGGCAGGCAAGCAAGACTCTTGCATGAAATAAACATGTGTAGGTGTGTTGCTTGAACCTTGCAGTGTGCCCCAACAAGCCAAGCAAGTGATATGATCTGAGGCGTACCATAGTACCGAGTGATACTACGTGGTTATTCGTGGAGTCTGAAGCCAGAAATTTTGAAAGCTCCTGCTGTGAGCTTGGGTGCACAAGGGCATTGCAACATGCTGTCTTTGTGGGTGCTATGTGCTTGGCCTACAGACTTGATCTGAGTGTGTACGGCCATGCGCGTGGGATGGGGTAGGGGTATTTCCATGTCAGTACGATCACGTACATATTCCATTTGAATGTGTTGCGGTGAGAACATCGCGCATTCTTGATCTAGACTGTTCGCGCGCAGCAGGATGCATGGGACAAATTGCGACCGAATGCCTGTATTGATTCAGCTCAATGATCTTACATCATCCCAGCGTGTGCTTCCCTCATCCATCTGTGTGCAGCCAGGATGCCACGACCTCCACGGTTTGCTGGACGAGTCGAAGGATGGAAAGTTCGAGAGAACTTTCGAGGTGCAAATTCCTGAGCTCAAGCAATTTGGCCAAGTTGGATAGATGCACTTATATGTGTTGGGAATGCCTGGTAGCTGCTGGGCTCTGTTGCTTATCACATGCAGGGGCTGCAAGCAATTGATCACTGCTTGCCTGATCTCAGTTGATTAGGGCTCGCTTTGCTACATTTTGCAGCTTTGCAAGAGCCATGGAATCATCTGTGATAATGAATCTTGTCCAACTTCGTGCCCCCAAAGCTGCTTGCTTGCAATTGTGCTGCCTTGGTGCCTGATCAGACTTAAACATGTTTTAGAATTGTATCACCTAAGGTTCTGGTTGCAACGGCGTGGGTCTTGGAGGCTTCACCTCTGCTTGGTACGCATGATCAATTTTTTGCTCTAGGTGCTGCTACTTCGCTGGATGGACAATCTGGCTTTCACGGACCAGTACGTACTATTTGATTTGTTCAGTGGCTGTGGCAATGTTCACAAAGAATGGCCACTGACCTGCACAAATTTACATGCATGCGTAATATAGTCCGCAAGTCTTGCGAAGCCAAGGAGTGCAGCAGGCTATTCTTCGGCATGCTTTGACAAGCTGTATGGTCCTGAAATGGACTTCTTGTCATGTGCTGGTTTTTCGCCACTCTCATGCACTTAACACAATTTAATTAGATGGCCTGCTGATTCTTAATACATTCGGGTGACCAGGCTTTCGATTTATGCGGCGCTCAATATGATCCCTGATGGTGTGGCGGTCATCGGGCCAGATTGCAGCAGCTGGGGAATACCAGCTCGCGGGTCGTCAGGAAGAAACTTTATCAACCCGAATGGCTACACGCATCGAGCATTTGTGAACAGCAATAACTGTCTGGTGTCTCGGAAGCTTACTTGCAGCCAGTGCGGTCATTACGCGTGCCAGACATGGAAATAGCAGGCATGTATGTTGTGTGTATAAGGATGGTATTGTTATTGCTGGTCCTGCTGAGCAAGCACTGCTGCTTCATAGTGGAGCAACCTCACCAGAGCTTGCTATACAGATCTGCCCGATGGGAATGGTTTTGCAATAGAGTTGCCCGGGCCACCTGCCTGCCAAGAGTCCAAGAACTGTGCATGAAATAGGCTGTCGGCGTGATATCGATGTGCCTTGGCTAACCCAGGTGTTTGAGGTGGGGTTTTGGATGCTGCGTCACGGCTCGCCAAGTGCCAAACGGACTAAATGCTTCAGTACAATGGCCACCCTCCTACAACTTGACCATGGCGTACTTTCCAAAGCTGAGCGTGAACAGAAAACGACACTGACCACCGTTCGCCTCTGGGATTGTAAATCTAGCTTGGAAAAATGTGAGGCAGCGCATGGCTAGATGTACATGTAGCTAAGCTCATCCCAGCTTAGGCAAGCACACGAACAAGCAGGGCAAGACCACTTTTTCTGGTAAGAAAGCTGAGCTCAAACAATCTGGGCTGCTTGGCTTCGAAATTGATTGGCTAGTGGCGGTGTCAGCACAGGCTAGCATGTGTAATTCATGATAATTGAGCCAACTTCGGATTTACACGACCCAGCTTGCTCAGAACTTGATCAAGCTTTATGAAGATTGGCGCCAGCTTCCTGCATCAGAGAGAGGTGATGTTCGGACGCGATTGCAAGTTGATGCACGGAAAACCGACAAGGAGCTGTTCCTAAGCGTGGAGATTGGCGACTGTTGGCCAGAAGCTGGCATTCATGAAGTGTTCTTCTATCTTTATGGGTGCCATCGCTGCAAGCTTCTTGGCGAAGCCTATTGATCATGCAACTTATGTGCTCCACCCACCCAGAACCCAGAACAATTAAACCTGGCCCAAACCCTAAACCCTAAACCCTATATAAAACCTAAACCCCTTGTGAACCTTAATGCCCTTTGCACTGCCAAGGATCCCAGACAGTTGGGTGGATGCCATGCAGGCCTTCCAGCAGGAGCTTCGTGCGCAGGTTCCGTGCCAGCAGGACAGCTAGCTTAGGTTTAAATATATGAGGTTACTATAGTATTTATGATCTGGTTCAAAAAATTATGGCGTGATGACCTGGTGCCTCTCTACCCCATGTTGTCCTTCCTGTTTGTGAACCCACTTCCGAATATGTATGCTGTTTGTATGAAGCTTGTTTCGGGTATAGTACATATTATACAAGGTGAGCAAAGGGGTTAATTGTGTCATTCCCGTTTTTGAGCCTGCTCTCCTCCCCTTAATTGTAATGCTTTCGGGTATTGTTTGAGGTGAGGCATGCAGGTGTGCAGGTGGGGGAATGTTAAAATATCATTCTGTTTTTGAGCCCCCTCTTCTCTACATGTTTAACTTCTTTCAGGTCATTTCTGAAGTGAGGTCTGTTAAGGCATGCAGGTGCGCAGGTGGGAGAACATGTTGGGACCCTCTTGACCTTTCTCTATATATATATATGCCCTTTCTCTCTTTCTTTTCTTCCTCTCTCTCTCTCTCTCTCTGGGATCTCTCTCTTGCATGAAGTAGCTTACTCCGGCTTCACTCCTGGCGCATTTCGAAACTTGCTCCCGCCACAACGAAACTTAATAGCTTGTAGCCTACACCTATATAGCCCAACAGGATGTGTGTACCTTCTTGAAAAAGCATTGGGTCAGTGTGTGGCAGATTCCCCTTACGTCCTGAAGGGTGTAAGCCTCCTAAAGCCCCCAGAAGGCAAAAGCTACCGCAGCCCCAAAAACCATTTCCCTCCAGCAGGTCTCTTAATCTCACCTGAGGTCAAAGCCAGAGCCTGGGGTCCACCGATTGGTATACCTAGGCCTATAGTATGGTACCAAACCCATAGGCTTTTCTCCTTGGCTACGTATGGTTGGAACCCTCCTGCTAACGACTGAGGCCTGTGGGTCTGAGAGGCTTCGAGAGAACCTGATGGCTCTGCAGCAAATGGAACAGATGCCCGAGCACTAATTGCAAATTCGAGCTCTTTCGGGGTTTCATATGTGCTTTTGAGGAATTTGGTACCCGCATTTCGGGCGCATATTTGCGCAATCCGGGCGCATTTTTGCGCAAACGGGCGCATATTTAAAAAGTGTGCGAGGGAATTCTGACTAGACAAGAATCTTTGAGCAGAAACCCTGAAAAGTAGCTTCGAAAGCTCAATTCATATGGAACTAAGCAGCTGAACTATCAGCCGCGTCTGCAACCTTCAAAAGATTTGACCGTTCTATGTCTGTATTGACTACTCCCTTCCTCCCTGTATGCATACCATGCATAAATATTTCATGTATATGTATATATTATTATAACATATAAGGGCAAAGTATGCATACATAGGAGGAAGGGAGTAGTCAATAGCTATAGCATGCCAAAGCAGATGTCGGCGTTCAGCGTTTTGCTTGATCAAGTCTAGTTAGCCTGGTGATGGCTACTTTGAGGCAATTGTCTTGCCAGACATTAGCCACAGGGATCCCACTCCTTGATATGGCAAACAATGGCCAAGCCCCTGCAGACCTTGAAGCAAGGATTGCAGCTGCTGGTTGGCATTACAACATAGTCATTTATAGCGGCATGCTAGTAATTTTCAAAGGCCTACTTGACCCTTATAACAACCTGAAGCAGCCAGGGCCCGTATTGCCTCACTGCAGTCGTCGCTGCAGCGCCCGCAGAGCAAGGAAGAACAGCAGCCTTTGGTTCCAGGCAGGTTGTTGTGTGTATAATGAGACCCATGGTTTTCCTGCATATGTGGAGGTGCGCCATTCATGGCTAGTGAGATGACAAAGCCGGATGTTGCGGGGAAGAAAGTCCTCTCCCTTTTTGAAAAAGCCTTCAGACTACTTGCTCGCATGCAGCCAGGATGCGCAGCACAACCCCTTTGAGGCTATGGAGCCAACCCTGAAACTTGGTGACACCCAGCCCAACATCCCTGAAGTTGCTAGCCCAAGGCCCAGCCCGTAATGGTAAAGGCAAAGGCACTGGTCTGGCCTCTGCGCCGAAGCCAGCTGTGCCCCCTGCAGATCCTCCTCAACACAACGGAATCAAGCGAGAGGCGACCAGGGGTAGCTTTGATACACCTAAAAGGAGGACGAGTGCTTCAGTGAGTGGTGGAGACAAGTGCATGAAGTATGAAGCTGGCTCTCCCCAAGATCTATAGCGTAATCATGAGCACGTTTTTCTAGGCTTTGTTGTTGCTGAACCGATATAGTACATCGATCTAGATGAACTTTCACAATCCAGGCTCCTACTGCGTTGACTTCGTTGTCTGATGAGGATGGACGTGGGAGAGATCTCGAAGAATCCATGCCCACTAAGCGTTCGCAAAGCCCAACCTACTGGAAGTAGCTTATCCTGACTTCACCTATAATGGCCTGTGCTTTGTTAAACACTCCCTCATCCTGAAGCTTGCCTGCTTGAACCTTACCATCCTAGGTTGAGGCGCTATTTCCAGCCAAAGAAATGCGGCGCCCTCAAATGCTCGAAGGAGGCCCTTGAAATGTACAAGACGGATGAGGGGAGTTTCTTAGTTCAATTAATGCAAGTATGACTTCATTCACGATATACAGTGCATATGCGCTTGATCATGTGTGATATCACAACTCAGAAGAGAAGCTCCGAAGCCTGCTCAAAGAGCACGGGGACTTCAAGACGCTAGAAATGGAAGTCAAAAAATGGAACAGGAAGACCCTCTCCAAGCTGAAGCAAGGGGGCTGGTACACGAAGCACTATTTGATCAGTGAGTGCCATTGGACGAAGCAGCTTGCGCAAAATATCATGGGTCAAAATGGGATTGTGTCTACCAGCGCATGTAAAAATGTACCTAGGGTGCAAAATGGGACAACTAAGGGCTATGGTGGCTGCGGCTTGGGAGTGGGCCAGGAACCATGGGAGGTTGCGGGTGAACAAGATTCACCAGGAGGAGGAAGCGTGGCTGGTATTGAGTGAGTCCTTCCAGTTGGCCGACGAAACCGGCCAAGAAATCGATCTGCGTGGAACCTTGGAAGCGGAGGATTGTGATTTATAGCTTAGCTTGGGCAGGCTTTGGGTCAAGAATTTTATGAAGGTCCCTTTCTTTCCCCAGAATACACTTAAGCTAGGGTTTCCTCTATAGTTGCAGGCAGGGCTTAGGGCTCAGGATGAGGGGTCTAGACTGTATACAGGGTTTAGACAGCTCCTTGGGAATTCCTCCGTCATAAGGGTACGCAATGGCATATGTGTTCATAAGTAATTGGTGAAACATAGCTAGCTAGAGCTTTGTGATCTTCCAGATACTATCGTGTATAGAATCCCCAAAGCAAAGTTATATATATATATATAGATTATCGAGACCCATTAAAATCATAGCACACTATATAGCAGGCCCCTATACATATATAATATGTGTTATATATATATTTATATATTATATATAATTATTGATGGTCTTTTTCCGATCTACATGCAGTTTCACCTAGGCCCTCATGGTTTTCTTGCCCTATAGGTTTGTATGTGGGGGTGGATAGCATTAACCAATGCACCACGCAGGCCATTGAGAACTCTTTGGATTACGAAAGTGGTTTGGGACTCATCATCTAGCTTAATTGAGAGGTCTTGGTTAGTTTGTGCAATGAGCTGGTAGCGGGGGCCTTATAGGAATCATAAACGGCTTCAGGTACATCATGGTTGGGTGCTGAATGGGGGCTTGGGAAGATCTACCCTATATACCTTCCCAATGAATAGTCAGAAAAAGTGGTCAACTTATTCTGTGAAATGTCTTGCTCCCTCACCCAACTAAAATGAGATCAACCCTATTCCTAAACCACATAAACGCATGTTTAATTGGGAACCCATAGCTTCAAAAATCCCTTGCTACAAAACCCTATAAGGTTTATAACATAAAAATCCGCAGGACGACAGTGGTTTCTTGCTGGGCAATGACCTCCCGGGTATTGATGGATCAGCTACTGACCTGGCCCTGGCCACATCAGGCACTACCAATGTAGGAGAGGGTGCTGCTGTTACTTGCGGCGCGGCTTCCTTCACGACACTAGGCTTTCCAAAGTTGTCACATAACAACATCGTATGGGACCCACAGTCATGTAGATTGGTTGTCTATGTGCATGCCCAGGATCATCTTCCCTAGCTTGGCGCAGAATGCTGCACCAACCTCGATCTTGGCTGGCTTTATCGAAGTCTTGGGTCGGAAGATTGACAGCTGTGAAGATGTGATTGACACTGGTCTTGTAAGAACTTGTATGATCACATGCATGAGAACAAGTTTTTGAGACGTTAAATGTTATAGTTTGCTGCACAGGAACGCCTTGATGATCAATCAGGGGCCCGAGCAAAGGAGTAGCTCAATTGCATAGAGATGGATTGAGTGCTAGGGGTTTTCCTCCATTAATATGAATCCAATTCTGACCCAAGGCTGAAGGACCAGATCGTGCTGAACCTGAAAGTCATGAAAGGCTACTACAAGGATCTCACGAAGAAGCAGTCTGACTCCCTCTGTACGGTCGTGGACAAGCTATGGCCCCAAGTATTTGCAGTATCAGTAGACATTCATGGCCGTTTACATACGTATCAATAAGCCTATGTTTCTTGATGAGGGCCTTCAACGATTCCTTGCTGAGGAGCTACGCGGAAATCACCAAGCAAGATGTTGTGATCAACAATTACATTGTTCGGTCCAAGCCCTTTACCTGCAGTATAAATTGCAAGCTTGGTCGCAGTGTGCATGAATGGCAAAATCGATCAGGTCAGTGAAGAAGGGTCCCTCCTCAAAGGCAGCTGGGGCCCCGAAAGGTAGTAAGGGTAGGTCTTCCAAGGAGAAAGCCAAGCGTTCCAAAAAAGCCAAAGGCTGCAAAAGACTAGACTAGTATGTTTCACAATTCCAAAGGAAGCTGCCTTGCAACGAGTCGTATGCACGATCAAACCAGCTATGTGATCTTTTGTAAAGCCATACTTGGTCGGGAACTATGCATGGGGTGGGGACATATCTCGTTGTTGAGCATTTCGCATGTGCTTGCAAAGCACTCTGTGGCAATCAAGCTGCAGATCCCTTTAATTTAATTGGGGTTTATCACTTGCAACCTGCGCAAGAATGCTCAGGGGAGAAAAAATTTCCTGGCAACATGCACAGTGCTTTCGATCCCTACATTCAACCATGCAAGTCTTGCCACTTGCGCAGGGCTACTGAATGGGGCAGGGCAATGCCAACAGCTCAGCTTTGTCAAAACTAATCAAGCAGCTTTCGCAATACCATGTAGTCTGCACTGCAATCCTCGGGCGTAAGGCGAAGAAGATGATGTTGAAATGGATGATGACCTTGCTTCAGAGCTCTTCTACGGCTTTTCGGCTGGTGTTACTTGGCTATCCTATGTAGGGCAACAATTAAGAATGAATCAATATATAGAGCTTCCTGCGTGGGGTAGACAGAGGCAGAGTCAGCCAATCGAGTTGTTCGTTTAGCTGGTGTGGCGAACAGGAAGTTTCGACGGCATGGCTGCTAAGCTTGGTGGTATATTTTGGGAATTCCTCTAGCTACCTATGGCCCATATACCCCTATAGTATGCCCAAACCTGGACTTCGACTACATAAAAATTGGATGCTAGGCATTGTGGACTTTGACCTCACGGCCATAGCTAAGTGCGGTCATACACCAAAGAATGTGAGCCGCGCATTACATCGCTTGATTCATCGAAGTGGCGGAGCTCTTCCTGTGAATGTTACCAGTGTGTCTACACCCATTCGCATACTTAAGGGGAAGCCCCGTGTGCAAACATGCAATTTTCCGGTGCTACTACTTTCCAGCTGGGGCAAGCAGATTCTGGAGAGTGGTGGTGAGATGCTGCTTGGGGGCCGAAATTTGGATGATGCAGGGTACCTTTTGGGAGAGGTTCAAATATTTTCGTCCTGACTTAGACCTGTACACCCGTGACTTTGACCTGGCAACCTGCATCCCGATGGCGTATCATGGAGATGAAGGCCGGGGGAAGCTGAAGCGACCTGTCATGGTTCTGGCCTATCAACCGGTGATAAACTACAAGGGGGAGAACTTCATCAATTCCAGTGGGAATCCAGGTTGCACTGTTTTTTGCATGATGATGCTATATCATTCTAAATTGTATAAGCTTAAGCCCATGCCTTTTCAATTGCTGACCAGGCGCAGCTTCACATCGCGAATGCTGTTCACGGTGGTGCCTTCAGAGTTCTACGCTGCAAATACGCTGGATTGTTTGCACCAAGCCCTGGTTGATGATCGGCTGATTCTCTATGAGAGGGGGCTTCAGGAGTTTTAGCTCATGCAGTAATATTTTGCGGTGTTATAGAGTTGCACGGTGGCTTTGGTTGAATCTGCATATTTTCTATCATATGCTATTAAGGTCAAGTGGAAGGATGAGACTTTCAACTTCCGCTTCATCCCTGTGGCACTAAAGGGGGATTGGCCGTTCCTACGTAGTGCAGTTCACCTTCGGACAGGCTTCAGCAGTCTTAGAAAGTGTTGCCTAGGCGTTGGAAATCTATTTTCATAAAGCATGTTTTGCTAATTTGTCCCTCCTTATGAATCTGCTAGATGGTATACATATTTGGCCAGTATAATACCCCAAATAAGCCCAGATTAACCTAGGAATGGTATGATTTGGGACCCGATAGCGTTGTCAAAACGATGGCATATGATGATGTGGCTGATCTCCCAACTCCTTTCAAAACAACACGAAGCCCGCTAAGAGATCTTCCAAGCTGCGACTCGCCGCATTTCGTGATGCCCGATCCAGCGCATACCTATGCGATTGCTGGTTGGGGCAAGGATTTAGTGGCCTCATCGATTATTATGATGACTCGACTGGGTTGCTTTACTGGGCGATTTATGGGGTCCAAGTTGAGTGCAGCCTTCGACAACTTCAAGTCATGGTGCAAAGAACATCATAAAACAACGTCGCTGACTGAATTTTCCTTGAAGACTTTCAAAGTGAAGCAGCTCCCGGGTGGTAATAGTACGTATAATTCATCGTTATGAATATATAATCCTATACGCATATTATTCCTATATTATGGGACCTCTAATTGTTATAGCCCAGGTTGAACCAGTACCCTACTGGATGTGGTAAGGGCCACGATACTGCTGTCCTTGGAGCTTGGCTGGATTCCGAATTAACTGGTACTGATGAGGATAGCATCGTAACTTGCCCTCAATTATTAGTGCATTCTGTTTTGTTGCTTAAGTTAATTAGCCCCATAATTATAATAATGTCCAGCAAATTTACAGGCAAGATCTGTCTCAATCCAGCTATAGGATGTGGCTTTCCGACCCCTACTTGCACTCTTGCGATGGACGATCATGGCTGTGTGCACACACTGGCGGATATTATACCAGAATCCAATCTGGGTTCCAGTGTCTGAAGCTCGAAAGGCAATCGAAAGTGGGTGGAAGATGATGGACTCTTGGAGTGAATAGATATCTGATTTTAAGATGTGTATCCTTGGGAGCTTTCTCTCTCGATCCATATGTAGCTCAGGAAGGCTATCAACAACTTGCTGTTCGAGCAGCGAATTTGAAATGGGTGCTTTTTCGGCTGCGCCCTACGGCGCACATGAACTTACACTTCATGTTCCCTGACTTGCATTAACATGCTTTTGCTGCACTAGCCAACCTGCTCGGGCTCTACACTGATGGGTGCTAAAGCTTAATTACATCAGGAGGGACATGGAGCTTCAGCTTCAGCGTGGGGCAACTTGGGTGTTAAACCCACTGTGTTTCTTGGCAGCAATGGGGCCAGCAATGGGAAACAGCAGGGATGACCTCTGAAACTTAGGCTGGGCCGTTTGGGCTGACGAAGATTTTGTGGGAAGATGTGCAAGAATCAGCAGGAAATGCTTTGCAGGGGTCTTGGACTCATGCTTTTCATGCTTTTGCTCGGCCTCACGCCTTTCCCTTTTGCCGCAGACCCACGCGTGGCCTTTCTCCCGAGCACACGCCCCTTTTTTCGTTTATTTCGTCCGAGTTATGCCGCAAACGGGGCATGTATTGTTGTTTTTTCAGGAGCTTTTTTCCTGCGGCGTCCAATCCCTTCTCTTTGCTCTAGTTCCTAGACCCTGGTACGTGCCACCACTTTGCTTTCTCTCAGTTGCTGAGCCGGCGACGACCCGTCCGAGGGTATCCGTGCCCCACCTCTGAAGTCAGTTCCCATACTGGCTCCATTGGAACTGCCTTATGGTAGTTCCCTGGACTTTTCCAAACCTCCTCAGTCGAAGCCAAAACTTGGTTGTAAAATGAGTTTAGAAGCCCAGCGCCCCTGACTGTCACTTGTTCTGGAGAAGCCATGTGTTTCATGGCATGCACCTCCTCCTAACATAAAACTCCCAACCCCCCTAATATCAAGTATGCGCAAAATATTCTCATGTACCACATAGGGAGTATATAGTATTAGGGGGGGGGGGGAGTTTTCATGAGCGGGAGGGGATTAGAAAGTCCTAAGCCAGAAGAGCTCTACCTTTTTGGAACATGTCTGCAGCTCCCTAAGGCTTAGGCTTTTAAGTGGACGTTAATGCGAACCCCAAACAGGGAACCCCAAGAATATAGTAGTAGGAATGTAATAGGAATATACCTACCAGGATCCGTATATCCCATAATATTCCTACAATATTCTTGGGGTTCCCTGTTTGGGGTTCCCATTAAAATCCATTTAGGTTTAGGACTTTGTATGCCTTGGGAGCTTTTGGCGATCATTTCCGTAGCGGAATACGCAAACTTGAATCCTTGCAGGCTGTCATGATCCCTGAATCCTAAACCGAACCTAAACCCTCAACCCTAAACCCTAAACCCTAAACCCTAAACCCTAAACCGAACATGGACCCTTCACACGACTTCATCCTCAGACCCCAGACGACTGTGGGGACATCTTCGCCCTAAATCCTGGACTTATTCCGCACACATCCAGTAGTGTAGTAAAATTACTAATAGCAGTAGCAGTAGCAAGAATAAGAATAGCGATAGGAAGTATAGTAATATGTAATAATTGTCATCATATAAATAATGATACCGAACCACTAAGGACATCTTGTATTGCCTGGACAAGCAGACTTGCCGATCCGACTTCCGGATTTCCGGAATGGGATCTGTGTGCTGTGCGAGTGGCAGGATGGCTTGGTTTAGGGTGTAGGGTAAGTCTCCAGGGCTAAGGGTACAGGGTTTACTTACTTCTGGTTAGTGGGGAATGCTGGAATGGAAAATAAACTGCAAATCATTATTATCATGATTCATTCCTTGATTTCTTGCTAGTCAGAGGTAAGTTTTAGGTGTGAAGTTGGGTTCAAGCGCTCCTACATTATACTATACGGGTATTTGACCAAATTACAATAATTAGAAGGGCCTTTGTTTGTATTCCCTTGGATGAGGGGCTGTACTACAGATATGAACCCTCAGACCCTAAACCTGAACCCACGGGTAAGCGTGAACTGGACGAATCAAGACGCTCCAAGAGGACCTGCCCTGACGAAGGGGTCGAATTGGGACTGGCTAGGTAATGAAGCATGGTACTTCGAGGGTCAGGGGACTTAGTAAGTATACTTTTCAACCTAATAAGCCAAATAATAACCCCAGTTATCCTGATTAGTAGCCTACCTACTAAATCCCCCTCACTCTTGCTAGTCAAGAGGGGATTGGCAGCGCATGAAGGACAGATGGATCGACAACCTGTGAGGCATCAGGCTCCAGCTTTACCCTCGCCACTCAAACCGATGGTGCTGGTCGAATCTGGGTTGCTCTTAAGGAACTTAGTTTAAGTTGCAATACTGGGTGTATATAGCAATGAATAGGGTTCCCCCCCAATATAGTAACCTAAATTAAGCTCCTTAACAGCAACCCAGGAAGGTGCAA